CGAAAGCACAGAGCATCGAAAATTAAAGAAAAATGTGATATTTTAGACAGCTTAAATCGCAATGAACCTTTCAGTAGTTTAGCAAGTGAATACGGCGTAGGCCGATATACAATTTATGACATTAAAAGAAACCACAAGAAAATCAAGATGTTCGTGCCAACTACTGACTGCGGGCCAGGCAAGAGACAGACACTCAAGAAAGCTGAACATCCAGAAGTGGAAGAAGCTTTGTACATGTGGTTTCTTCAGGAAAGAAATAGGCACGCACCAATTTCAGGACCCATGTTGGCCATGAAAGCTAAGTTTTTTTATAAGAAAATAACAAAAAAAGATGATTTTGTGGCCAGCAAAGGATGGCTAGAACGTTTTAAAAGTCGTCATGGCATAAGTTTAATGACTATTACAGTAGAGAGACTTTCTAACGATGCCACCTGCATCGAGCACTTTAAATTAAGTTTTTTGCAAAAGGTGAACGATTTAAATCTTGACCCGTCACAGGTGTACAATGCAGACGAATCAGGGCTTTTTTGGCGTGTGAAAAATCCGAACCTGAACGAAAAGTAAGTAAAGAGCGTGTAACCATACTACCATGTGCTAACGCTGTGGGCAAACACGCGCTTAAGATGATGGTCATTGGGAAATCTAATAAACCACGGGCATTCAAAAACATTGATTTACCTGTACACTATTACGGACAAAAAAGTGCATGGATGACAAAAGACCTTTTCAAAAAGTGGTTTGATGAATGCTTCGTACCTGAAGTTATAAAATGGTTAAAAGATCATCATTTTCCTCAAAAAGCGTTGTTGCTTCTTGATAACGCTCCCGGTCATCCGTCTGAAGAAGAACTAACAATTGAGGATAAATGCATCACTGCGATGTTTCTTCCGCCAAATTGCACTGCACTGATTCAACCAATCGACCAGAATTCCATTCAGTTTGTCAAGCAAGACTATAAGAAAAACCTACTTCTGAGAGCCGTATCAAAAGACGAACCAATAGAAAAAACTTTAAAAGAATTTAATATGAAAGACTTGGTTTTTGCTCTTTGTCAGTCGTGGAATGCGTTACCGTCATCAACTATTAAATCGTCTTGGAAAAAGTTATGGCCAGATATAGTCACCACTCCTAGCAACGTTCCACAAATCGGTGTTACTTCGGAACTTATAGAACAAGTCGCTACTGAAACACAGATAAGTCCGGAAGATTTGGAAATCTGGTGCCGTGGAATGGATAAAGAGGAAAATGTTTTTCATGAAATGTCTGACGAAGAGATTATAAAAGAGGTTTCTGCTTATACAACAAACAATCAGGAAAATAACGACGACGTGATTGCAACTGCTCCACAAGTCACATCACAAGACGCAATTAACGTCTTTGAGCTAGGTTTACAATGGGTTGAAGAGAATGGTACATCCTACAACGAACTTTTACTTTTGAGAAGACTGAGGGATAAAGCTCTGATCTCGCGTTATAACAACCTTAAACAAAAATAATTGATCAATATTTCCAAGCTTCATAATTTGATAAATTCATTAATGATTTTTAATAATAATTCTTGATTATTTTGGTACATACATGTATGTATGTGCATTCATGTTTAATTTTATAATAAATCGTAAGCTCTCTATTGTTATTTAATTTACTAAATTCGACATACATAAACTATGTATGATTTGTACTTCAAAGTACATACATATACATAACATATATAATCTTACCATTGGATATGTAATTTGTCGGATTACAAGGTACCCTTTTGTAAAAAATTCCGGACTATAGGGGGTCTTAGGCAGTGCTCTATAATCCGACAAATTAGATAGTCCGACACTGCCCTGCATAATGTTTGTCGGATTACCGGAGGTCCGCTGTATTTGAATAAGTCTTTAACACTTAGTCAGTTCATAGCAATGATACGGCCTGATGTGTGATCATATCTTGTTAGATTATTTATCAGACGGCAACAGTAAGTTTGGATTTTCTAGATAGTGGTCTAGGCAGAGATAATAATTATAATGACATACAATAAACGATTTCGGAAATAACTAGTCTTTCACATAAAATGTTCTTGAAAAACTTGGACAAAATGTTTTTGTTGGCATATCGGAGGCATTTTTTAACTACTCGTACCTTCCCACTTTTTACCGACTTCCTCAACGATCCAGCGTATCTTGAAGACGGCATTTACTGCTTAATGAATTATCGTTTTTTCATAATTCTGATGACTTAATTCCATGATACGATCCGACCGGCAGAGATAAGGAGATCTCTTGTATAATTTTTTTGTTGATGGTATAGTAATAAAGACCACAGTCGAGCGGAAATATTTTTCTTTTTCGGAGAAGATCTGGATTTGATAGGAACATCCATTAGTGTCGATGTCTCTTAATTATGGGTATTTACTTAGAAGACTGTCAGTTTGTGAACGACTTAATGTTGGTATACGGTGATATTTGTCGGTTTTTTACTAAAAGACAAATTGCTGGAGTCTACATATAATGACTTTATTATTTATGTAGGATAGGATGTTGGAGAAAACCGACGAAATGATGGCACGCAGTCATTTGTTTCGGTTTCTGGATGTCGTGTGCTGGGATCTAGAAGCGTTCAGGATTTTTTTGGGCCTTTAACCACAGAAAGTCTTAATGCTCTTAAATATGTTGTACTCATTGGATTCAACCTTACGGTCATAGGTCATGAACAAACTCTCATGACAGGCTAGGTGAAGATCATTTTTCGCCTAAAATGAGCTTTATAAGTTAACTTCAAGATAATACAGCAGACGCTCGATAACGTAAACACGGGATAATGAAAACTTGCACTAATGTAAACACAAACTTCGTTCTATGGGATCAAACGGAACGCGCGATAACGTAAACAATGTGTACGCTCGATAACGTAAACAACTCTCGGCGCACGGAAACAGCGCGACGGTAAAATGCTGAAGCCTCGATTATTTATGTCGTTTATACGTTTATACGTACGTATGTATTTCATTTTTAAACTTAAGTGAATACATTGCACGCGTTAATATATTTTACGACTATGGCATCCACATCCTATAAAAGAAAGTGTTTGAAGTTGAGTGAGAAAGTGAAAATCATAGACGAAGTTGCACTAGGTGCGGGAGTGACACAGCAAAAAAATATGGAGTATCGAAAGCAACAATCTGTAAAATTAAGCGTATGAAAACTCAAATTTTACAAAGAACGTGCAATACATTTGGAGGTCCGGGAAAAGGAAAAACTTTAAAAAATGCGAAGGCACCTAAAATGGAAAATTCCCTGTATAAGTGGTTTTTAAAACAACGGGAAAATCATGTCCCAGTTAGTGGCGAAGTACTAAAACAGAGAGCGAGACTGTTAAATGAAAAACTGAAAGAAACTGAAAATTTCGTAGCTAGTGATGGCTGGCTACGACGATTCAAAACAAGATATGGAATTCGACTGCTGTCTATATCTGGTGAAAAATTATCAGCACAACCACAATTAGTGCAACCATTCAAAGAAAAATTGATGAAAACAATTACCGAGTTAGATTTAAGAATGGAACAAATTTACAACGCAGATGAAAGTGGCCTTTATTGGAAAATGTTACCAGGGAAAACCTATGCTGCATCATTTGAAAAATCTGCCCCGGGAAGAAAGCCGGAGAAACAACGAATAACGTTTCTAGCCTGCACGAATGCTAATGGTTCATACAAAATAAAGCCACTGGTAATTGGGAAAGCAAAAAATCCGCGCTCATTTAAAAATGTCAATATCCCTGTTAATTATGACTGTTCAAAAACCGCTTGGATGACAAGCAGTATATTCCTAAAATGGTTCCACAGGTGCTTTGTCCCTCAGGTATGACAATAAATTATCACAAATGCTCTATTCATAATTTGAAGACGTGTTTTCAATTTGTAGGTAAAAAAGGTTTCCTAAAACAACAGAAGTTTCCAATAAAAGCGTTGTTACTATTGGATAATGCACCAAGTCATCCTCCCGAGCAACAACTGAGGAGCAGGGATGGGTCAATTTTCGTCATGTACATGCCGCCCAACGTAACATCGTTAATTCAACCGATGGACCAGAATATAATAAGACTCACCAAACTATACTATAGGAAGTTTCTACTTTCGACTGTCTTATCAAAGAATCCTGAAAACTTATCTGAGGCTTTAAAAAAAGTAACATTACGAGAAGCTGTTTTAGATTTACATATGGCCTGGAATGAACTTAACCAGCAAACTATTCAAAAATGTTGGAACAATCCCTTTTGTACCAATAATGAAGATGATGAAGAAGACGATGTCCCCTTAAGCGTAATTAGAGAACGTTTGCGATCCAATAATGATAATGTTATTAGTGAGTCATTGGATGTTGTTGATTTATTGAAAACAGTGAATCCCAACATTGTTTGTACTACTGCTGATATTAATTTATGGAACGAAGATAAGCAGACGAATGATGCTGATAAGGGGGAGGATATGGACAGTGAGGATGATGAGAACGATCCCATTGAAGTCAGAAGTGTAGTGACTGACGCGCAAGCTATACAAGTTTTTAACCAAGCTTTAGATTGGGCTGAAAGAAAAGAAGTTTCATACACGGATATTTTAGTTCTTCGTAAATTACGGGCGCAGGCATTGGAAGACAATGCTAAGCGCAAATTTACGCAGACAAAAATTGTTAATTATTTTTCTTCTAATTAAAAAAAATACTTATCGCTGTTAGAATATTTGTTTATTTTGTTATAAATAGTATGTATTAAACGTTTCTCTTAATAAATCAAATATTATATAAATCACGTTCGCTAATGTAAACATTTCGATAATGTGAACCACACTTGGATTAAATTACTATAGTTTACATTATCGAGCGTCTGCTGTATCTCATTTTCGAAATTTTTCGTTATTACAGTAAGCGTGTAAAGTAAAATGAGTTTGTATCGCAACGTCCTGTATTAAAAATGAATTGCATTATCCGTCTGCACTATAGTCACGCTATTTCCATGTTAGCTCCATTTTAATGAATAATATAGACGCAATCCCGTGTTCAACCTTCTCAGTAATATCCAATGCATCGGCAATCTAATGTCGCCAGCAATCATGTGCACATTTACAAGCATTGTGGCAATTAGCTTTCTATCTCACGGTAAGTTTATGTGTAAGAGTTTTACAGTTCAGACCTTAAAGAATGTGTCTCAGAAATATGAATCATTCGTCATGAATTTACGGTCAAAATTCGAGATTTTTTCCGTAAGAGGCCGTTCAAGTATTACGTGAGCACTATGGGGTGGCGGGGGGTCTTTTCTTTGCTTATTTTGGATGACATGGGGGGTAGGGGAGTCTAGATGATGGTTACGTCATCGGTAGTTATTTACTTTTTTACACGAATGGCAACCCTCACATTGTCTTTGCTTGAAAACGAAACGCATTTTCGGGGATTGCCGCAAATAATGCATACGTTTAGTGAACAACGCACGGTAATTCCCCTACTCGCTTTAGAACCGAGTAGGGGAATTACCGCGCGGTGTTCACTTGTCTAAATTTCCTCTATCAGTGTATTGTTTCGTTTGGGTACTATAGCGAGTAGACGTATTGTAAGCATAGTAAAGCAAGTGAACCTTTGCGTTACCATTTATTCTATTAGCCAAAGTTTAATGTCTAAATAAGATGTTGTTTCACATAGACAAATCCAAGTTATACCAAAAATTGCTTGAAAGTTTTAAAAAATCTCATACAAGTACGAAATTACAAATTACAAGCAAAATCCGACAAGGAACTAGATACAGGGTGGCCCATAAGTCCTTTGAGCTGGAAAAAAAGGAATAAAACCAAACTAGTTACATTATGAAGAATTATTATATTTTGTTATCATCTTTATTGAATGGGAATTATGTTTTAAAAATCACATCGTCTAAATGCAATCCATTACGATCACGGCACTCATATAAACGACGTCTAAAATTGTCGATGACTGCGCGGCAAGTCAACACTGTAATGCTTGCCATTTCTCTTCGGATATTTTCTTTCAGGACATCAACTGATCGCGGAGTGGTGTCGTACACTTTACTCTTGAGGTAGCCCCATAAAAAGAAGTCCATTGGGGTCAAATCTGGACTACGTGGTGGCCAGGAAATGTCTTCTCTTCGAGAAATTACTTTGCTGGGAAAAAGTTGACAGACGACGGGCATAGAAGTGTTGGAGGTGTGGGCAGTTGCTCCGTCCTGTTGAAACCAGGTCTGCGTATTATAGCCTGGAAAATTCTGCAACGCTGGTGTCAAAAACTCTTCTATCATTGCTACATACCGCTCCGAAGTAACAGTTAATGCGCGACCTCTGTCGTCCTCAAAAAAATAAGTGCCTACGACGCCATGCGCTGACATAGCAGCCCAAACTGTAACTTTAGGGCTGTGTAAGGGCTTCTGATGCTTACGCCTTGGATTTTCGGGGCTCCAATAACGGCAATTTTGTTTATTTACATGCCCGTTTAAATGGAAGTGAGCCTCGTCCGAGAACAACACATTATTGAGCGAAGAAAATCGATTCAACATTTCATTCGCAAAGTTTAGTCTCTGAATAGCGTCATTATCTTTTAATTCCTGCACTAACTGAATTTTGTAAGCGTGCAGACGTAAATCTTTCCTTAAAATCCGCTGTAAAGATGTTCTGGGTACGTTTAGTGCACTGGAACGCTTACGAGTAGACTGGGTAGGATTTTGACGAACAGACTGTGCCACAATGTTGATGTTTTCTTCAATACGAGTTGTCCTTCGTCGACCCCACCGCTGTTTATCTAACGTCGAACCAGTCTCTTCGAACTTAGCAACCCAGTTCTTAATCGTTTGAGCTGTTGGACACTTTGTAAAATTGTGTAAATACCACAGAATACCAATTCTCGATATTTACGCCGCGCAATGGTTGCCGAATCATTATTTTGATAAAACGCGCGCACACAAAAAGCACGATCCGCTCCAGTGAAACACTCCATGGCGACTGAATTCCCAGACACTGAAGATACTGCCCCCACCTCGCCCGCGCCGCTCACGCTCACCCGTTAAATTTTATTCAAATTTGAAATTTCAAAGGACTTATGGACCACCCTGTATTATTGTATCTAAGAGAATCGAAGAAGAATTGCAAGCGGCGACTAAGAATAAATCCAATCTACTATTTTTTTTTCTAAGGTGAGTGACGAAACAGTTTAGGTACCTATGAGTACTAGAAATATTAGAAATCGCCAAAAAGTTTCTCTTTACTTATTAGAAAATATTATGGCCTATCTCAAAGTATAGAGGTATATTCATATATAGATTTATTTCTTATGATTGATTCCGTCAATTGTTCACAAAGTACAGGATGTTAGTTTTATACATATATACAGAAAACTAACACCCTGTATTTTGTGACAGGAACGAATTGCTCGTTTAAACATATTAGATTTAAAGCCATAGGGTTTTGTATTTACCATATATATTGCCATACTTTGTATTTATGTAGCTTAATAAGAGAATCTTTAGCAGAAGCCATAGAAAGTTTTTATTTTTAGGCAACCTGTAAACCTGCAGAAAAAACACAAAATATACAGTCAGCTTCAAATATTAAAAAAGAGGAAGAAGATAAAATAAAACCCGGTAATGAATCACAACAGCAATGCGAAATTAATGATAGATAAACAGAGAGCAAAACCTTCTCAGGAAGCTATGAAAAATAAGATTCCTCTACTCGAAAAAATTTGAATGCTTTGTATTCTGCCAGGGATACTATGCCAAACTGTGCTGAAGTTGATAAACAGATCAAGTTGCGCGAGGAAATAAAAACAGCAAAACAGTCTTCAACCAGAAAGGTTCAAAACGCGGTTGCCCTGAAGAAACACAGGAATGGTATGAAAAGAAAGTTAGAAGATATTTGTCATGTAAATCCAGAAATAAAAAAAGACTATCTCTGAGGGATTCAGTGGGACGTCCTAATCTTGAAAGCAATCAACATCCACTATTGAAAACAATCGCGGATATAGCTTTATTGGGGAGTGCAGCAGATGATAGAAGACGAACGGAATCAATTCGCAGCATAAAAAACTGATCACCACAAGAGCCACTTAGATAGCAAGTTCGCTGAAACATCAAGCCATTATTTAGAGAACATAGCATCCATACTTGGACCAGATCAAGTATTTTCCATATCTCAAGATGATAAAGCTCGAGTCCCTATTGGCGTAACTGCAGCAAATAAGCAAGCACCTCTTCTAATGCACATGGAATATAGAATCAAATTGCCTGATCACGATTGGGTAATCGCTGAGCGTCATAAATTAATACCATCTGGTTATGCTGGTATCAAAATCACTTCCAATAAGCTAGCCGTTGGATATTCTGGACCAACATACAACGCTATTCGAAGTGGAAAGCATAGTTCATCTACTGCTAATACTCATGCTCAAAACGTGTGGTCTTTATCATGCTTCCGTCAAGTCACTAAATCGTCACATCGAAAATATCCATAAAAAAGTAAACACGCACACTGATAGAAAAGTTAGAGCTGTAAGAATCGCTGCTCGTCGTCCTAATGAACTGATGTGCATTATTAAAAATTTAGAGCACCATGATGTTGAATGGCTCGATGAGAACGACGTAGACATTCCAAAATCCGATGAAAGCGAGCAAACTCACAACACTGAGCAGCAATCGAAGCAAGCCAATGTCATCGAAAACTTAGAATCATGGATTCGGGTTGCATGGACTGAAGACTGTTAATTTGAATTTAATATATGTACCAAAAATTTAAAATAAGTTTGTTATGCTAGTAAGATATAATATTTTTGTCCTTTACTCTAAGTTGAATACCGTATCAGTAAAATATAATCTCTATCCTAAATCTATTTTCTTATTTTTCAAATTATAATTATAACGTTATAATTATAATATTAAAAAAAACCATACATTAATTGACAGATGTTTACGTAAGCATGGGGGGAGGGAGTAAGAGCTTTGCTTACTTTTGCTGACAAGGGGGATGGGGGGGTAAATAATTGTAATAAATCTACTTACGTAATACTTGAACGGCCCCTAAGTTAAATGTCTGGATTATTGCTGGGATGCTTTAATAACCTACACTCACTATTCGCTACTGTCCAGAGGACAATTTCATGATGTTTATTGAGCAAAGTTCCCGAAATTTTGTAGTCTGTAGGGAATAATGTTATTGTAAAGGAGGAAGAAGACAATTCGTGTCCGACCGAACTTTCGGTTGCGGTTTCGGTCCAAAATCAGATTTTCGGTTTAGTTTCGGTTTCGGAAGAAAGTCCGCGGAAACTGCATCCGTAACCCAAACTACGTTCGTACGTTTTCAGGCGCCATCGGGCAGATTCATTCAGACCAAAAGTCAAATTTGTTGAATGTTGAAAGCGTTTTTTTTCATGTCGTATAACATCAGACTGTTCAATTGTTTTATTAGATTACGTACTATACCCTATTCGTAGTGCGCTTACGCCCAGGCACAACAAAGATGCAGCGCGGCAAAGCGGCAGCCGACTACGCGTTGCAGGATTCGACAGGATAGAACTCAGGATCGGGGTATCGTCGGTTCGCCGTTAGTTACTGTTCAGATTCGGTGTATACATGGTTTGTCCGGAAAGTAATAGGACTTATTTTCTTCCGCCATGACTGTACTTCGCAGCGTGCGCGTACCGACTGGATTCGGTAGATGGCGTTCCTAGCTAACGAATGAGCGGCTGGTCAGTTGTCTCCGAGCACTTGGAGAGTCAGGACAGGCATTTTCGCGCGACGTGTTTCTGTGAATGGTGCAAGCCGAAAATGTAGCGTTCGTTAAAGCTGAGGTACGCGATTAAATTCTGTGTGAAACTCGGTAAATCTGCGACAGAGACGTTTGATATGATCAAGCAGGCTTACCCAGGTGTTGCTTTAGCAAGAAGTGGTGTGTTTCGGTGGCACCAGGCCTTTTTGGAGGGCCGGGAAGAGGTCGCTGATGAAGACCTTTGACTTCGACAAACACCGATAATGTGACTCGTGTGCGCAATGTTTTGAACTCAGACCGTCGACTAAGTGTTCCTTTAATTGCCCAGATGTTAAATTTACCAAAATCTGCGGTTCATGACATTGTGACACAGCATTTGAACATGCGCAAGGTGTGCGCGAAGATGGTCCCAAAAGTGCTCACTGACGACCAGAAATTGAGGCGAGTGGAAGTGTACAAAGAAAATTTGAACATGTGTGAAAGTGAACCCCAATTTTTGAATAACGTAATCACAGGTGACGAGTCGTGGATCTTTGAGTATGATCCCGAGACAAAGAGGCAATCTTCCGAGTGGCACACGACGGCATCTCCTCGCTCAAAAAAGGGAAGAATCAGCAAATCCAAAGTGAAAACGATGCTCATTGTCTTTTTTGACATCAAAGGCATCGTCCATCATAAATTTTTTCCTCCTGGACAAACCGTCAACGCCACGTTTTACGTGGAAGTGCTCAGAAGACTCAAACAAAGGGTCAGTCGGCCGATGAAAGGCAAGCATTTTGAGACGACAGAGGGGATCCAAGCAGCATGCACCGCGGCTCTAAAGGCTATTCCGGAGAATGCCTTCCGTGACGCCTTCACTGCTTGGAAATCGCGCTGCATCGACGCAGAAGCAGCCTATTTTGAAAGTTTTTAAAAAAATGTAACAATAGGCCTAATAAATTTTTTTAAATCGACTCAGTCCTATTACTTTTCGGACAAACCCTGTATATGTCTTCATAATATTTGATTATTACATCTTACACAGAGATTGTTTTTTTTTCTGTAGTAAACTGCTATTATTACTACTAATATTGAATGATAAAGATATTTTTGATCTACATACTTGCCTTCAGCACTGTAATATTCAAACGTATGCAGATGACACGCAGCTAACTCTGTCTTTTGATTCTTCGGACATGCATGAAGCATCATATAAATTGAACTTAGATCTAGTTAACATTGATGAGTACTGCAAAAGACATTGTCTGAATATCAATGCTTCAAAATGTTCTACTATGCTATTTGGCCCAAAACAATTACAGTATATTCAGATAAGAGATAGACCGGACATAAACAAGACCACGTGATCATCGAACGCTGTAACATTCGGCAGGGACGTAATAAGAGTCACGCAGTACATATTTTAGATAGTAGATGCTGCTTTGCGTAACTTTGTAGTAAATTAGCACAATTCGATGTGTATACGATTGGTGATGGATATAGGATCATGTGGGGGTGGGGTAAGAAATATATAATGATGTAAATATACATAAGGGTTTCAAAATTTTTGCTTCGATTTCCAGCTTCGGATGCCGCCTGATGTTTGGTGAAATACAGTCGAATATAATCTCAAAATGGCGTTTAAATTAGCCTAAATTAAAAATAATCGTATATCTCTTAAAATTGCTTTTAGAATATTGATTAGTACATTTTTTGATTTCTAGATAAATATGTAACCAAATTAAAACGTTCAAAACGTAAAAAAATGTGCATGGTTGAACATTGTCAGAAAGTAGATTCTTGAATAGGTTTTGCCAAAATGGGTTCAAAAATGTCAATAATTAATTAAAAAATACAGTAGCTTTATAATTACTTATAACTTACCGAATTTGATGAACGACATCTTTTATTGGAAAGATGAGCTTGATGAGCTTTCATCATCGCTACTGCCTGAAGCACCAACGTCAATAATGAATGGCTCGACTTGTTCCTCTAAAATATTGTCCAGTTCCCACATTCTCTTTTCAACTTTGTCTTTCACGTGCTTAATACAGTTTTTCCATTTTTGCGCTGTTATTAATTCTAGTGCTTCTTTGAAAAGTCCTTTGAGGTCACAAAATTTAAAAGTTGTATTGTGCTTAGCTATATAATTTTTAACCTCTGCCCATATAAGCTCAATGGGATTGAGTTCGCAATGGTATGGAGGTAAATGGAGCACAGTTTTACTTTGACTTGCTGCCATTTCGTCAATGGCGTATTTTTGATATTCCGCCTTGTGATCCTTGACAATTCTTAATAATTGTACTTTCAGCATTGCTTCTTCAAAGTTGATATTTTTCGAGCGGAGCCAATTTTGAACATCAACTTTCCTTGAAGCCGTTGTTGGGACCTTCTCCATTCTTCGAGAATGATAAGGCGCATTATCCAACACAATTACTGCGTTTTCCTCTAAGTTCGGTAAAATTTTTGAGAACCACTGTTCAAACGATTCGCCATTCATTTCCTCGTGGTAATCTCCAGTTTTCTTAGACTCAAAGCACCACAGACCGTCAATAACAAATCCATCCTCACTGCCAATATGGCAGACAATGAGCCTTTTCCCTTTACCTGGAAATCGAAGTACTAACTGGTGTAGATGTATTTCAATAAGCGAACCTTTTTCAAATGTTTTCATCACATTCAGCGAAAAAACATTGAGACATGAGTATCAGATTGCTATAATTGGGATTATTTAGTCATATTGAAAGAAAGAATATTGAACGTCGTATGATTACTCAGCGCTTCACAATTTAATTTAAAGTTATAAACTTTTAAAAAATGAATGATCAGGAACCTGAAATACGCGCAAATATTAATATTAACAAATTATAGCTTTATAAAGCTTAAAGTATGAATTAAAATGATTAGAAATATTAGGAACGGTACACAATATAAAACTTAGTAACTTTTTTTAAGTTTATAATATTCGACATATTTTAAGATTATATTAAAAAATTATTGAAATATCGAAAACACATAAAAACATGGCTTAAAAAAGTTCTAACAAATGAAAATGACAATAAAACATCCACGCATTTTATCGAAAGTTATAAAAGTTTTGTTACTTGTAATATGTTTTATCTGCCCCCTGGAATTAATGTTTAGAACCTTGTTCCCAAGGTTTGAAAAACATCCGATTGTTGTCTATTACTCGTATTTACCTGCTGGATTTTTTAATCCGGTGGACAGTCCATCTAGAAAGGCCCTCCTGGATGAAGTTACAGAATCATCAACCCATACTTTACTTGTAGTGTGTCCTGCGTTTACCCACGTTTCATCAAGGTAATAAATCTTCCTGTTTTGATTTCTATATTTCCCAATTTTTGTTAAATAATCCCTCCTCCATAGCACAATGTCTTCTCTATTCAGTAGTAAACTATTACGACCCCGTTTTTTCCATTTGAAATTTAAATGCTTCAGTAACGCATGGAAAGTTGATCGTTTGAAATTTGGCAACGTTGTATCTCCATTTACCTCCTGCAGTACTTTATCTATAGTAGGTATTTCATTCCTAAAGAAGAATTCATGCACTTTCCTCCTAATCGCATGCTTATCAGCTTCATCCAATGATTTAACAATACTTTTGCGATGATTACTGGTCATTGGCTCAGAAAAGGTGTGATTTTTTTGTATTGTCTTAACACATTAAACACTGATGCGCGACACACCCCAACTTTGTGAGAAACCTTCACAACAATTTCTTTGATGGTTGATGCCTCGTTCTCCTCGCGCTCGATCTTATATATATTCAAAATGACCTCTTTCATTTCTGCACTCAGGTGTCTTTTTTTAGAGCGTTTCCTAGGTGGACTACAGGAGTTTACAACTTCATCAGCAGTATCTGTACTACTGGGCATTTTGCGCAAGCAGTTGATAACAATAACAATCAATAACGAGGTATAACAATAACAACGACAAACTCAACAACTTAATAAGATAACAAACGAAAACGTCCAAAGAAATATCAAATTGCAATGATGCACACGACATACGTAACACGTCTGAACCTGAATGTGACTCTGCCTTGATACGACTGCTCTGCCGCTCGGCATAGGCATTTAATTGCGAATTGACCAATGAGGGCTCCTGTTTTACGTCGAGACGGCGGCGTTAGCGTTAAAATCACCCGAACCTTTTGTTTACATCCGGTCTATCTCTTATCTGAATATACTGTAGTACAACTGTTAGATGGCACAATTGTTCCTAGTCTTAACGAAACCCATATTCCTATAGTAGACCATGCGAAGTATTTAGGGATCACCATGGATTCAGATTTGAGGTTTAAACAACATGTTACGCATTTACCTCGCTTAACATACATGCGTTTGAAGTTATTATACACCAATCGCCATATTCTGAATTTCAAGACTCGCAAAAAACTGGCTGAGACTCTGGTTGTATCGTTAATAAATTATTCAATTGCTGTTTACTTTCCTTGTCTTGATTACGTGACTAGATATCGAGTACAAGAACTTCAAAATAGCTGCTGTAGGTTCGTTTGTGGTCTGCGAAAGTTTAGCCATGTGTCTAAGAAGATCAATGAGCTTAGATGGTTGAGGGTTGACCAGCTTTTCACATATAATTTACTAATTTTAGTACAACGAATAAAAATCAATAGGCTACCTACTTATCTACTAAAAAGGCTGGTACGACGTGGGGATCTCAATTACAGGAATCTGACACATAACTCTGACTTCCATATTCCTAGTTATAGGAGCAACATTTTCCATCGTAGCTTCACCTACAACGCTGTCAAGGTGTACAATAGTCTTAATGACAATTACAAAAAGAAGGGAATACTTGCATTTAAGAGAGCCATTAAGAACCATCTTCTGGGGTCTTCTAGCCAAGCTGGCTGATATATATTTTTTGTCTTTATTGTTTTTTTTGTTAGAGCGGGCTATGTGGAATAGATGTACAACATATTAAGATTAATCTATTTAAGCTTAATTATTGTATATATTATTTAGCCGATTGCTATTCATTGTTATGTTTTTCCTTTTGTATGTGTTCCTGCGCTGTGAGGTTAAGTGGTAGCCAGCTGGCTAAACTTCGCCTCGCAGTGTGGAGGGATTGATAAAGACATTATTATTATTATATGAGTTTGTTTTGTCTTGGAGATACACATATCATACTACTCAGTCATTTTCGGCCGAAACTAAAATTGGACCAAAATAGTAGTTTCGTTCGGACACTAAAGACAATTGCTTGAATCCAGACTTGGCTTACCTTAATTAAATCAATTTAATTTATTTAAGCTAGCATCTGCAGCAACAACGTTTTGTTTCAGTTTATGCTCAGAGAGCTTATTACTGCACCACCCCAGACTTTTGTGATGATGGAATTCAAGTCGATCCGAGGATAGAAACACCGACCAAGGTAAAACCAAATTTATAATGCAAAGAATGAAATATAGTGTGACAGTGTGAGCAGGATAATCAGAACATTGTGAGTTATGACTAAAGTACTCAACACGCTTTTATTAGCTCGGCCTGTATGTATTTAACGGAATTTTTGAGCATAATTTTCACCAATTTCTGGAAGTTTGATTAATTTATTTATTTCCAACAGGTGAAACCCAATTACAGGAAATTCTGAAAAAAATAACAATTAAAGAGACATGGTTATTGGACTTAAATCTATAGTATCACACACTCTAAATAAGATTGGATGATCTATAGCAGTTAATAATCGATGCACAACTGTCACTGTAAATATCACACGATTCAGTAACACTGTTCATGACGCAGCACATGAGATTAATAGGTGATTTTGTCATAACATTTGTACGGCCAGCTTGACAATAGAATGCCGTTTGTTGTCGACTCCCTAGCCTTGGAACGCGGAAACATATTTTTTCAAGTAAATTTTGACAGTCAATTTTATTGTGAATGAGGCCATACAAAAACGACAAAGCAAATATGTTTCGTCTTGTTGACAGTGAATCCAAGTTGAAAAACTCTAATAAGGCACTATGGTCACAACCTCTTTCTGGATAAAAACCTGTGCATTTAAGGTGAAAATACTTTAGAGCTTTACGTTGACTGGTCTCAAGGATCACGACAGAATTTTGGTATATAGGAGACCAGATCAGAGTCGCATACTCCAACTTGCTCCTGACAAAAGTAAAAAATAAAGTCATTAATGTATCAACATTGGAGAAACCCTTCCAGTTTCTGATACAGAAACCAAGTAGTCGAGTGGCAGCCGACGAGATATTGAGTATGTGCTCAGTAAACGTTAGCTTGGTATCAAAAGTGACTCCAAGGTCTCTACGTATATAAGAGGTGCATCTGTCTATAACCTGACCATTGATGTTATAATTATCATGAATTAAATAGTTAACCTTTCTTGTATAAGTCATAACTTTACATTTCGAAACATTCAGACTGAGACAGTTTCGTGAACACCATGACGAAATTAGAGCTAAGTCATCTTGCAACATGACGCAATCCTCGAATGTCTTGACTGACGTGCAGATTTTAAGGTCATCAGCGAAAAATAAATGGAAACACTTCAGTTCAAAAGACAAGTCATTAATAAATATCAAAAACAGTAATGGACCTAGATTTGACCCTTGAGGTACCCCGGACGTGGCCCGATAGTAACTCGACCTATGACCACCATATTCGACAAATAACCTTCTATCCCTCAAATATGAATTCATGAGCGACATCCTTGCATCAGACATACCCACTGTTGTAAGGTTATCCAGAAGTGCATAATGATCAACTTGATCAAACGCCTTCTGAATATCTGTGTAGATGACATCAACTTGTCCCTGACCGTCCAGTACTTCAGAAATGTACTGAGTAATTAGAGAAAAGTTGGTGACCGTAGATCTGTCTCTCATAAACCGATGCTCATTAATAGAGACTGCACCCCTGACCGAGCAGTAAACCGTTTCATAAGCGATGATCTCAAACAACTTGCTGCACAGGATTGCTATTTGGCGATAGTTGGAAAATGTCAGGAATATCTCCACTTTTGTGAATAGGACATATTTTAGAGGTCTTCCAGATATTTGGATATGTCTCTGATTTTAGAATTAGGTTGAATATGGAAGCCAGCGGTTTTGCTAGTTTATGAGTGCAATCTTTAACGAAAAAACTTGGAATACCATCACATCCAGACGTCATTTTGTTCTTTAATCTTTTCGAAGCCCTAATTACGTTTTCTTCACATATATTTTTTAAAGAAATGATATCGGTAGAATTATTTGTTGGAGGAGATGACCCTAGTAGACCAGACGGGATAAAAACTGTTGAAAAGAAGGTAGCAAAACTGTCCACTATATCCTGAGGCGTATCGCAGACATTGCCGTTAAGCGTCATCCTTGGGGGGATTCTAGATTGCTGTTGTTTGATCTGGGCAAATGACCAAAATTTGCTAGGATCATTGACAATGGCATCCTCAACCGATTGGACGTAAGCGGAGTAGGCAACACTGATCTGGTTCTTAATGAGCTGCCTAAAATTACTGAACTGATCATAAGAAAACTTAGTACCGCCACGTTTCCAGTTGCTTCTTAATATAAAACTTACACGTACACGTTTCAAGGACCGATGTCAATGCAGTAATTTGATAACAGTTTTCGATTATCCTTATTAGAACCACCAGGATTGGTAAGTTCTTTTATAGATCCTTTGAAGGGAAGTAAGAGAGATAGAGCTAGCGCGCGATCTGCGCATACGTGCAGTTTCGGACTTTCTCTTTGTTGGTTCGGGCACTCGGCACCGCACAACGGAGGCAGATACTTTTTCAAGGTAGTGCATTATCACCTTGTTCATTGCGAATGTTGCCATTATTCCTGAGTTGAGATCGTTAGACCGTATCCGGACTGAAGAACTTGATTGCTCTAAGTTAACCGGAAAAACCCCATGCAACAGTGAAGCTTTAAATGAAAAGATTATATTACGAAATGATTCGTAGGTCTTTTCAATAACACTTGTCCACAAAAAACTAACTGCTAAATCGAACTAAACTAAAAAATGAAAAATAAATAATAGTTTAAAATAACTAAAAAAAAACACGCTTTTATAGTTAACCGAACTTTCGTTTTTGACCTTTTTATCCGCCGACACTGGCCCGATTTTCAAAAACTACAAATCTTTTGCGTCCTTGGCATAGTAGAAAATTTCTTAAAAGATAATACTCTTGTTTTCTAAAATATTCTCGATTACAATACAGCAGACGCTCGATAACGTAAACACGGGATAATGAAAACTTGCGCTAATGTAAACACAAACTTCGTTCTATAGGATCAAACGGAACGCGCGATAACGTAAACAATGTGTACGCTCGATAACGTAAAGAACTCTCGGCGCACGGAAACAGCGCGACGGTAAAATGCTGAAGCCTCGATGATTTATGTCGGGCGTCGGGGAGTCCCCGATTTATGATGTAGAGTGTAGGGGATTCACCTCTGCGATAAAATACGACAAACTCGGTCAGTCGTATGATCGTTTAGGATACGTTTATACGAACGTATGTATTTCATTTTTGAACTTAAGTGAATACATTGCACGCGTTAATATATTTTATGACTATGGCATCCACATCCTATAAAAGAAAGTGTTTAAAGTTGAGTGAGAAAGTGAAAATCATAGACAAAGTTGCACTAGGTACTGGAGTGACACATTTAGCAAAAAAATATCGAGTATCGAAAGCAACAATCTGTAAAATTAAGCGTATGAAAACTCAAATTTTACAAAGAACGTGCAATACATTTGGAGGTCCGGAGAGGTGCTTTATCCCTCTGTTATGACAATCAATTATCACAAATGCTCTATTCATAATTTGAAGATGTGTTTTCAATTTGTAGGTAAAAGGTTTCCTAAAACAACAGAAGCTTCCAATAAAAGCGTTATTACTATTGGATAATGCACCAAGTCATCCTCCCGAGCAGGGATGGGTCAATTTTCGTCATGTACATGCCGCCCAACGTAACACCGTTAATTCAACCGATGGACCAGAATATAATAAGACTCACCAGACTATACTATAGGAAGTTTCTACTTTCGTCTGTCTTATCAAAGAATCATGAAAACTTATCTGAGACTTTAAAAAAGTAACATTACGAGAAGCTGTTTTAGATTTACATAGGGCCTGGAATGAACTTAACCAGCAAACTATTCAATAATGAAGATGATGAAGAAGACGATTTCCCCTTAAGCGTAATTAGAGAACGTTTGCGATCCAATAATGATAATGTTATGAGTGTGCCATTGGACGTTGTTGATTTAATGAAAACAGTGAATCCCAACATTGTTTGTACTCCTGCTGATATTAATTTATGGAACGAAGATAAACAGACGAATGATGCTGATAAGGAGGAGGATATGGACAGTGAGGATGATGAGAACGATCCCATTGAAGTCAGAAGTGTAGTGACTGACGCGCAAGCTATACAAGTTCTTAACCAAGCTTTAGATTGGGCTGAAAGAAAAGAAGTTTCATACACGGATATTCCAGTTCTTCGTAAATTACGGGCGCAGGCATTGGAAGACAATGCTAAGCGCAAATTTACGCAGACAAAAATTGTTAATTATTTTTCTTCTTATTAAAAAAATACTTATCGCTGTTAGAATATTTGTTTATTTTGTTATAAATAGTATGTATTAAACGTTTATTTTAATAAATCAAATATTATATAAATCACGTTCGCTAATGTAAACATTTCGATAATGTGAACCACACTTGGATTAAATTAGTTTACATTATCGAGCGTCTGCTGTACTTCATCGCTAGTAGGAGTGGGAGATAAAACTCACTACAAACTGATGGAAATAAAAAAAACACGATTTAATCAAACGAATCAGCTTAATTGCTTTTTTCAAAAAAAAATACTGATTTTTGCAACATTGGCTTGACACTTATGATCCTCAAACACCTTCCAGCCCCCAGCCAGTTGCCCGGCAGGCTACCTGATCTGCTTGAAGCCGAAGTGCGGCGTAGCAGCCGGCAATCTGCAGCCTGACGCCAAAGACGGCGAAGCCACAAAGGGAGCCTTTCCGTGGCACGCGTTCCTGCAAAACGACGCAGCCAAGGCCAATACCGCGAACGGATATGCAGGAGGTGGAGTTCTGGTCGATCAAGAATTCGTGCTCACTGCCGCGCACAAGATCACAAATATGTAAGTTAATTTTACTCTCCCACATTGTCTTCAACTTGATTTTTCGGCAATGAGGAAGTCTTACATCATGAATGAAACGAACTTTCATTGACAATAAGAAAAAAATTGTTGTGTTAGGCGACCCCGCAGCTGAATACACTCCTGTATACGTCTAGGCATCGACAAAATGAGATGATCGATGTCTGGTTGTGGCATCTCATTCCAAGCAACTCGAACTTCGTGGATTAGCTGTGGCAGAGTCTGTGGCGGATGGTGCAAAGTGGATAGTCTCCTACCCATCATACCTCTCACACGTTCGATGGGATTTAAATCCGTTTGACGGGGTGGCCACGCAAAATATTAACGGCTACTTCTTGAAGAAAGTCCATAGTACGACGAGCAATATGAGGACGTGCGTTGTCTTGCTGAAACAGGACGTATGGGCGGCCCTCTAGAAAGGCTACCATAGGCAATAGCCCCTCAAACCATTACTCCAACAGTCGTGTTAACAGCAAATCACGCCGTTCCCCACTGCGGCGTCTTCCCTTCTACGACCATCGTGCGCACCTAGACAGAATCGCGATTCGTCGTTGAAGATGATATTATGCCATTCTGCGTCCCAATATTGCCGTTCTCTGCTCCAGTTCAAACGTTGCCGACAGTGGTCCGCAGTCAGAGGAAGCACTAACCGTGGACGGTATGAAAAAAGTCCAAAGGCTCGAATGTGGCGATAGAATGTACGCATAGTAACACACCTTCTTCTCCAAATCATTGGTCAGCGATTCGACGCGTAATAGCAAAACGGTCTCGTAGGGCTTTTTTATATCAAAGCAGCCGCGCAGGCAGAAGCCTAAATGCCGGAACACCGCGGCTGCTATGATGGTCCAAAGAAATTTTGTTAATATGATTTTTAAACTGCCTAAGGTTAGTAAAACTGGGAAAAGCTTCCTCTTGTAGATTGTTCCACAGTCTCGACACTCTCGGGACAAAGGAGCGGTCGTATCGCCCAGTTCTGGATGTACGAAAATCGACACGGTTATGATGGGACGCCAAAGTTAGGCAGGTCTGTCTGGCAGGGACATCGCGCGGCGACATTATAGAAGTAAACTGTACAAGATTGTTGCGCCCCTAAGCAGTGATAGCCTCCTCGTCTCTTGTCAGAGAGGAAGTCGTCGCTAGTCTTCTTTTTTCCAGCTCAGCGGCGGAGATCGGGTTGTCATTCTGAATTCCTGCATGTAGAGTGCTATCATCAGCGAAGCTGTGGATTGGGTTGATCGTGCAGGAAAGGAGGTCGTTGATATGTAAGAGAAACAGTGTCGGAGCCAAGACCGATCCCTGGGGAACACCCGCGTTGACGTTGTGGGATGAAGAGGAGAACCCGTCAATTACGACGGATATCTTGCGGTCAGAGATAAAGTCGGCCACCCATCTGCACCGCTTTTCTGCGAGGCCATATGATGGAAGTTTGCTTAAGAGGGCAGCGTGCCACAGCTGATCGAACGCTTTCGTGATGTCACGAGCAACGACACGAGCCTCACCATAAGACTGGATGAGTTTACTCCACAATTGCGTGACGTAAGCTAGGAGGTCCCCTGTGGATCGTTGGTGCCGGAAACCATACTGCCTGTCGCTAATCAAGCTGTGACGTTAGAGGTAGTCCAGACGCTCGCGACTTATGCACCTCCATGACCTTACTTATAACAGAAAGCAGAGCTATAGGCCTGTAGTTGTAAGGGTCGGTCTTAGATCCTTTTTTTGGGATGGGTTGGACATGAGCAAATTTCCAATTTTCTGGGAAGGTGCCGGATTCATAAGATATCTGGCAGGAATCAAGTCCGGACCAGAAACTTTGGTGATGTCGAGCGACAAGAGCTTACTCGTCTTACGGTCTTATGCCTGAATGTTACCTCCCGCATAGTGTAGGGAACCCTTTGAATTGATGGCACTTGGGCGTTGGGGGACGTCCATGGAGTTGGCACCAAAGATCTTGACTAGCACTTTCGCCTTGGCCTTTGAGTTAAATCGTTCCATCCTGACACGCAAGTGGTGGAAGGCTACTGTGTGAGAAATTCTTTTCAATCTGCTTGGCCAGCGTCCAGAAAGACCGACTGTCATTGCGCTGCGACATTACCCTGTGCCTAACTTTTATATAGTGCTGGTTTTTGCCATTGCGAACCGCTTCGTTATATTTTTTTCTGGGCTCGACGTCGGCTTGTCTGTTCTCTGCAGTGAGGTTTTGTAAGAAGGTTCAGTGTGCCTTGATCTTCGACGAGCAGCCGTTGAACCCTGTGTGAGGGATGTATTCCTCGATTCCGACGTGGATAATTTCGGTTATCAAAGAACAGACAGCCGACGCATCCACGTCAGTGAAACAGACATCTCTCCAAGGAAAGCTAGAGAAGAAGTCTCTGAGCCCCTTCCAGTCGGCATGTCCGTAATGCCAAGTTTTGAGGCCTGTACGAGTTTCTGCTGCCACAGCGGGTTCTGACCGAAAAATAACCTCCACAACACCGTGGTCTGAGTTACCCAGGGGAGACAGGACAGCAGTGCTGTAAGGGACAGGATGCGTGGTCAGAAAGAGATCCAAAAAAGTAGGGCTCGTCACCAGCTGAGTCAGCCCTTGAGTAAGAGCGAACGCTTCGACTGCACGACCTGCTGCATCAGTCTTGTTTGAGCCCAACCAAAGCTCATTATAGGCATTGAAGTCACCGAGAAGAACTTCCTCTGAAGCGGGGTGATTGATGTTCAGGAAGTCGATCTTGACAGTGAGATATTCAAGTAGGTCATCCCAGTTATGGTCCGAGGGAGAGCGATAAAGGCAGCAAATAAATTTGGCTGATGTTTTGGAGTTGAGGCGAAGCCACAGAATGTCCTTCCGGTCTTTGGAGCAGGGAAGACTGCTGCGGACAAAAGCCAAAACTCCCCCGTTCTTTCTCAAACTGTAGTGCACCTCGTAGTTTGGGAAGTTAAGATGGTTAATCGGTGCAGACTCTGAGATTTTTGTCTCCGCCAAGACAAGCATGGCGGGACGATTGGTTTGCAGGTAGTGATGAACAGCATCAATGTTGCTGTTAATCCCGCAGATGTTTGTAAAACAAATTTTATCTTCGATGTTGTTTGGTTAATATGGCGGAATTCACAAAAACATCACTTTTTTGGATTCAAGATTGCAGTTACACACCCATTTCAGAAACTTGAAAGTGCTTTCCAGATTTTTCTCTTTACCGTTTTAGTACCTTTTTCGCCGCAAGCGTCTACCGTGGATAGGTTCCCAGATACAGTACCTCTTATTGTTAGTTGTCATATAACATCTAAAAACCATATGTCATTTCATAATTTTTTCGCAATAACAATACTTCATCACCCGTACCAATTAATCGCGTTTTTCATAACCATGTGCTCATACTTGTAACGCTTCCTTTCCGCAAAAAGTACAGAAAAGATGGAATGCAATGAAGATTCCAACTTTTCTGCACAATCACAGAAAGGGGGTTACAATTTGCTTCCGGTAGCTCAGTCGGTGGCATGAAGACATCTACAGGCGTGTAGCTGTGTGTCGACCATGGCATGGCTAGAGGATAGAAGAACTAACAGAACACAAAAATTTAACAGATTTTATTTAACAAAAAAAAGGCATTTTCATTACATTACAATTTTACAAAAATAACAAAATAAGTTTTACATCTTTGGCGCTGCCATAACGCTATCGACTTATCTTTCGCTGGTCCATTTTGACTGGACTGAAGCGAGGATGGCCAGGTGCTTGAAGTGGAGGTCCCAGTTATGAGGGGTGACCTCCATATAGTGGCTTCACAACCGGTTGTAGGCGAAGTTAAAGGCGATGGCGCTGCCAAGGTACATGCATGGGTGAAAATATTGGCCAAGGCTAGGCAAAGTGAAAGGGAAAGAGAAAGGGGGTGGCCCCAATCATTTTTGTCCTATACGGACACACATTCTAGAAAATTCTAGCACATGGTGCTATATAACCTTGTGCTACTGAGAAGAAATTTCTAGCCGTTGTTCGATCGGCGGCTCAGGTGAAAAGGAAGCGCGAGGAAGATCGCAGATCAGGAACTCCGCATCAAGCGCTCCAAGCGGAAAATTTTCCAAGCAAAAAAGCTAGAGATGGGATTAATGAAATGATAATCGAGAAGTGATTTAATAAATACGATCGGACGGTGAAACCGTTACATACTCAGTTGCTGATTCTCTACAAGTTCTTTCCTTGGTTTTTGGCGGCATTGAAAATGAATTGCAACCTCGAACAATTTTTCAAAGTCAACGCGAAAAAACCTAATTCTTTGTAGGTTTATTACCTCATACTTCATTAATATACTAAGTGACATATAAATCCGAACACCCAGTTTAAATGGTATTATTTTAATAAAACTTGGTGAATGTATTTATCTTACTGTAAATAACCAGTGAAAAAATTTTCAGCCTTATCAGTTGGACATTCCGGTTTTTATACTGCTTTTTTTTAATTCACTAACGCTCTAAAAATGAATATTTCAGCCGCAGTAAAGAATCAACGTTGGCGGATTTTGGTTCTTGACAACCTTTACGATCGGTTACGATGCCTAGAGTACGGAGACTTGTACGATTTCGTCAACTTAGTGAGTTTGATAGGGGCCGTATAGTGGGACTTCGGAAAGCTGGACTGTCTTTTCGGGCAATTGCAGTTAGAGTGCAAAGAAGTGTAGACACTGTGGTTAGGTGTTGTCAGGCATGGCTTCGAGAAGGCCGTACGCAAAGAGCAAGGGGCACTGGACGCCGCCGTAGAACAACAGACCGTGAAGATCGCCGCCTAAGATTATTGGCCTTAAGGGACCGTTTCTCCACTACCAGGTCCATTGCAAATGAATGGTTTGCAGAACAGGGAAGACCTATTGGCATGCGAAGTGTTTACCGACAAATGAGAAGTTTTGGCTTGTTTTCATACCGGCCACACTGGGTCCTCCCTTTAACTCGAGAACACGGACGTAATCGCCTTGAGTGGTGCAGACAACGGTCACTCTGGGATCAGGAATGGAACAGTATTGTCTTTAGTGACGAGTCTCGATTTTGTTTAGGCATGCACGATGGTCGTGCCAGGGTTAGAAGGCGACGTGGTGAAAGGAGGAATCCACAGTTTTTTGTTGAAGGGCATGTTCATCACACTGTTGGAGTTATGGTTTGGGGTGCTATAGCTTATGGTTCCAGGTCACCTTTAATCTTCATCAGAGGTAACCCGAAAGCGCAGCGTTATATCCACGAAGTTCTAGAACCCCATCTTTTACCCTATCTTGACACCCTGGCAGATCCAACTTTCCAACAAGATAATGCCCGACCACATGTTGCAAGAGTCACAATAGACTTCTTTCAACATAATGATGTCACATTGTTACCATGGCCACCAAGATCTCCCGACTTATCCCCAATTGAGCACGTGTGGGATATGATGGGTAGGAGATTGCTCAATTTGCAACGTCCTCCTCAGACTCTAGAAGCACTTCGAGAGGACTTGGTGGTTGCCTGAAATGAGATACCACAGGAGGACATTGACCACCTGATCAGAAGCATGCCTATGCGCGTTGGAGAATTCGTAGCACATCAGGGTGCATCCACACATTATTAAAGGTCAAAGGGCTTTAAAGCAGTGCAATCATCTTGAAATTTTTAGCATTTACTTATTATGCTTCATTAAGTACTTATACAAAATTTTATTAAAATAAAACTATTTAAACTGGGTGTTCGGATTTATATGTCACTTAGTATATTATCTAATATTTCTGCTTGTAACTCGTCCGAAATGTCAAAATTAGAGTTGTTTACAATCGTGATGACAGCAACCCAGAGAGATGCCCACGTGCGCTTATCCTTAAATTCATTTCCTGCTCAGTATAACAACTTTTACTTCATCGTCGACATTTTCGGCTTCACCCCTACACCATAAGTTTAACCTCCTATCTCTAGTCTTCATGGTTTTCATATAATTCCAGAACGGCTGTCAACGTTATTTTAGGCGCACATCAAACGACAAAAGCAGAACTGGACAAATGTCAAAAGTTCAAGGTGACTTCGATGTATGTCCACAAAAACTACAACCAGTCAACGTTGAAGGATGACATCGCTTTGCTTAGATTGGAAACGAACGTGAACATGGGAGGAAATATAAATTTGGTTTGTACCCCGCCAGCTGACAAGGATTACCAAAATACAAAGTAAATTGTCTATACCGCCCTACTTAGGTAAAAGGTAGTGGTGTTTATTTACTGCCATTTTCAAATTTGGCCCTAATACATTTCTTTTATGATTACAATTACAAAATATATCAAAGATCATGTGGTTGAACAAAAATATGTTATTTTCCCACCTTGTCAAATATTTCATATTAATTAAAAAAATTCAATTTTTAATCTGTCTTTAACTTGTCTTGTCATATTTTATATAATTTTAACCATTGTACCATGTATCCAGCTCTCACCATGTTACTGGACGTTTCCCTCATCCTATACGAAAACAACAATTAGCAACATCCTCACATACTACTCTCCTGATGATGATGGAAAAGTCCTTTGAAAGCTAGAGAGAATTAAAAAAAGTATAAAGAGTCCTCTTTGCTTAAATTTTGTCGAAGTACCCAACAAAAGGCGGAAGCTTTAATTTTTCACCTAAAATATATATATATATATATATAACAAAAATAGGAAAATAATGGGCAAAATCAGGCCCGAAATGAACGCACATATGCAACTACAAAAGTAGATACACATGCCCACACATCCGGATACGGGTGTAACCTGAGGAAACGAGGATGGAGAGGAAAAACGACACACGAAGTCCACAACAAGAGCCAACCCACACATTGTATTATAAAATGGCTAGAAGACCTCGAATTTTCAAGGCGACAAATAACCACAACCACGCGGCCGGTTATAGCCACTTGCTGTGGTACTTCAAGCCCAAAGGATCTACAAAGTTGCATACGTGCATTCATTTCGGGCCTGATGAAGCCAACCAGCAGAAATCGTATCGCTCGGGTTACCTATCCTATTTTCTGCTCGAATCCACTTTTTGCGGATTTTGCCCATTATTTTCCTATTTTTGTTATATACCTTTCTCCGCATGATAATTTTCTCTATATATACATATATAACTTGAGACGTGGTCATTATCGTCTAGACCAGTTAGGTGAAAAATTAATTTACTCATATTTGCTAAACTGCGAAAAATTGGAGAACTTACATATCTCCCCAAATTTCGACTCTTCACAACCATAAATAGAAACTGTGTTTTGGCCGATTCCACCAGTAAATTTCATTCCACTCAAAATATAATAATTCTCTTCTCACAATTTATTAATAATTGTTAATCTAAATTCCCATTAATTAAAATATAGTTTATTCAACTGCCTCTGGTCGGTTTAACAAATTCTTACATAAAATTCTGAAAATCACATCATCTGAAGTGATTTGGCAACGTTTGGCACACGCCCACAATTCGTTCCATCTTTCAACACAGACATTGACATCCTTCGGCCTTCTGTCAAAGGGTTTCATCTCACTCATTATTCCATGACCACTAATTTGTGCAATCATCAAGTGGCTTCACGATGTAATGCTCTAATGTTTTTTAAATAATTTTTAATCTGTTTTTAACTTGTTCTTGTCATATTTTATATAATTTTGACCATTGTACAATCTATCCAGCTCTCACCATGTTACTGGACGTTTCCCTCATCCTATACGTAAACAACAATTAGCAACATCCTCACATACTACTGTAAGTTGAGTCAATTTAAATTCATTTTACACTTTTGTTGCTACTGTTATCATTGTAATTGCAGCTCCTGATGATGATGGCAAAGCCCACTGAAAGCTAAGAGAGAATTAAAAAAAGTATAAAGAGTCCTCTTTGCTTAAATTTTGTCGAAGTACCGAACAAAAGGCGGAAACTATACATATATATATATATATATATATATATATATATATTTGGGAATAAGTATTTATGGTTATAAATAATTACTTTTTCTCCGAAAGAATAATTATGAAAAATATTTTTTTTGTTAATATAACCATTTTTGTTCCATGTAATTATTTAATATAATCATGTAATTATTGAATTGAATTTTTATGAGAAAGAGTTTACTTTTGTGGTATGTGAATTTCAATAGGAACATATTATATGAAAATGAAAATTCTGCATTACTGCGTGTTTGCTTTGAAAAAATAATATAGACAATGAAAACTACGAAAAAAGGCAGTAACTCTGTTTTGCAGAGTATAAAAGCAGTAAATCACATTTTTGATTTACAACAATTAAAAAAGGAATGCAATTTATTTAAGGCCTCGACAAAAAATATGTAGTTACTAAACGCCCACGTAAAAGTCCTTTTAATCGAAGATTTTGCATGTTCAACATCAACATTTTCTAAAGTAGTACAAATAGCTAAAATTTTAGTTATGTTTACCTATTGGCGCCAGTTTCAGACATCTCAAAAAATTAATGTTACAGTATTATATCAACCTGTAATAATGAATGGACAGTACAAAAGCATTGAAATATACTAAGTGACATATAAATCCGAACACCCATTTTAATTTTATTTTAATAAAAGTTGGTGAATGTATTTATCTTACTATAAATAACAAGTGAAAAAATTTTCAGCCTTATCAGTAGGACATTCCGGTTTTTATACTGCTTTTTTTAATTCACTATCGCTCTAAAAATGAATATTTCAGCCGCAGTAAAGAATCAACGTTGGCGGATTTTGGTTCTTGACATCCTTTACGATCGGTTACGATGCCTAGAGTACGGAGACCTGTACGATTTCGTCAACTTATTGAGTTTGATAGGGGCCGTATAGTGGGACTTCGGGAAGCTGGACTTTCTTTTCGGGCAATTGCAGTTAGAATGCAAAGCACTGTGGTTAGGTGTTGTCAGGCATGGCTTCGAGAAGGCCGTACGCAAAGAGCAAGGGGCACTGGACGCCGCCGTAGAACAACAGACCGTGAAGATCGCCGCCTAAGATTATTGGCCTTAAGGGACCGTTTCTCCACTACCAGGTCCATTGCAAATGAATGGTTTGCAGAACACGGAAGACCTATTGGCATGCGAAGTGTTTACCGACGAATGAGAAGTTTTGGCTTGTTTTCATACTGGCCACACTGGGTCCTCCCTTTAACTCGAGAACACCGACGTAATCGCCTTGAGTGGTGCAGACAACGGTCACTCTGGGATCAGGAATGGAACAGTATTGTCTTTAGTGACGAGTCTCGATTTTGTTTAGGCATGCACGATGGTCATGCCAGGGTTAGAAGGCGACGTGGTGAAAGGAGGAATCCACAGTTTTTTGTTGAAAGACATGTTCATCACACTGTTGGAGTTATGGTTTGAGGTGCTATAGCTTATGGTTCCAGGTCACCTTTAATCTTCATCAGAGGTAACATGAACGCGCAGCGTTATATCCACGAAGTTCTAGAACCCCATCTTTTACCCTATCTTGACACCCTGGCAGATCCAACTTTCCAACAAGATAATGCCTGACCACATGTTGCAAGAGTCACAATAGACTTCTTTAAACATAATGATGTCACATTGTTACCATGGCCACCAAGATCTCCTGACTTATCCCCAATTGAGCACGTGTGGGATATGATGGGTAGGAGATTGCTCAATTTGCAACGTCCTCCTCAGACTCTAGAAGCACTTCGAGAGGAGTTGGTGGTTGCCTGGAATGAGATACCACAGGAGGACATGGAGCACCTGATCAGAAGCATGCCTAGGCGCGTTGGAGAATGCGTAGCACATCAGGGTGCATCCACACATTATTAAAGGTCAAAGGGCTTTAAAGCAGTGCAATCATTTTGAAATTTTTATCATTTACTTATTATGCTTCATTAAGTATTTATACAAAATTTTATTAAAATAAAACCATTTAAACTGGGTGTTCGGATTTATATGTCACTTAGTATAGTTGGTTTCTTGATGGAAGCCTGGTGTTATAGACATATTGTCAATAAGCCTTTACTTGTTTTGTTGTTTTCAAGGATCATACGACTTGTTTGAATAGAGAAATTTCCAGTTTTTTGAAACAAATAGCTATAACGCTATAAACCTTTTGGACTAACCGATAGTGTAAAAATATACAAGGTGGTCCATATAATTTCTTTGCGACGAAGTATAACTTGCCTCTTGGCAACCCCGTATTGTTCATTCATATTCGAAAAGAGGTTGAATTAGGACACATTTGGGTAAAACAAAAAAAACTACACACCTCCACCTGTCAACAAAGCAGACATTCAGATTGTCGAACTGTGATACTTTTCATATAAAATACTAACTAGCTCAACTTATAACCGAAAGCCATAAGTATGTTATAGCAATCTCGTACCTTTAAGACGGCCAATCAGGATGTGTAATAAAAAGTAGTGTATTTTCCATTCGATAGAAATCAACTTTGATATGTGGGTCAAAATTAGGACAGCGAGTATAATTGAAAACTGTTCGTCCTCGCACTGTTTGGACATCCTATACGTATATATACATTTCCTCTTAGAACCGCTCAATAAATCACCCCTTGGAGTTTGGCCAGACACCTTATTGGCGCGCTGTATGCATATGAATATACTGAAAAGTTCACCCGAAACTATTTTCAAGCTCAGTGACACTTTTAGGACCGAATGCTTGGTGACAGGTTACGGCCAGCAAGAGTTTACGGACTACAACGCACCAACGCCGTTCCTGAAGCAAGTTCATCTACCTATCGTTGACACGAAAAAGGATTGCGAAGCGTCATACGTAAAAAACTTGGGGCCGAAAGCCAGCGATCTGTTAGATCTTAAATTTGAGTTGTGTGCTGGTGGTGGCGATCAGCTGGACGCTTGCACGGTAAGCATTGATTTTTATCGTAAGTACAGGGTTTGTCCGGAATGTAATAGGACTTATTTTCTTCCGCCATGACTGTGGCGGATGGTCAGTTGTCTCCGAGCACTTGGAGAGTCAAGACAGGACGTGTTTCTGTGAATGGTGCAAGCCGAAAATGCAGCGTTCGTTAGAGCAGAGGTACGCGATTAAATTCTGTGTGAAACTCGGTAAATCTGCGACAGAGACGTTTGATATGATCAAGCAGGATTACCCAGGTGTTGCTTTAGCAAGAAGTGGTGTGTTTCGGTGGCACCAGGACTTTTTGGAGGGCCGGGAAGAGGTCGCTGATGAAGACCTTCGACTTCGACAAACACCGATAATGTGACTCGTGTGCGCAAAGTTTTGAACTCAGACCGTCGACCAAGTATTCGTTTAATTGGCCAGTTGTTAAATTTACCAAAATCTGTGGTTCATGGCATTGTGACACAGCATTTGAACATCCGCAAGGTGTGACCAGAAATTGCGGCAAGTGAAAGTGTGCCAAGAAAATTTGAACAAGTGTGAAAGTGACCCTCAATTTTTGAATAACGTAATCACAGGTGACGAGTCGTGAATCTTTAAGTATGATCCCGAGACAAAGAGGCAATCTTCCGAGTGGCACACGACGGCGTGTCCTCGCCCAAAAAAGGGAAGAATGCGCAAATCCAAAGTGAAAATGATGCTCATTGTCTTTATTGACATCAAAGGCATCGTCCACCATGGATTTGTTCCTCCTGGACAAACCGTCAACACCAAGTTTTACGTGGAAGTGCTCAGGAGACTCAATCGAAGGGTCAGTCGGGTCCGACAAGACATCGCAGCCGACTGGAAGTTGCACCACGACAACGCCCCGGCTCACACCGCCTTTCTTGTGAACAGCTACCTGACCAAGGCCGGCATCCCAACGCTTCCCCAGCCGCCCTACAGCCCAGGTGTGCCACCCCGGACTTTTTTTTGCCTGAAAAGGCCGATGAAAGGCAAGCATTTTGAGACGACAGGTGGGATCCAAGCAGCATGCACCGCGGCTATACCGGAGAATGTCTTCCGTGACGCCTTCGATGCTTGGAAATCGCGCTGGCAGCGCCGCATCGACGCAGAAGGAGCCTATTTTGAAAGTTTTTAAAGCATTGTAACGATTGGCTCAATAATTTTTTTTAAATCGTCTCAGTCCTATTACTTTCCGGACAAACCCTGTAATATCATAAGGGTATCTGTTTTCAGAAAAAAAGGTAAAAACACGTTTCTAAGTAATATTTTAACAAAAGCGAGTGCTGGTAGCAACAAAAATTCGGGTCGAAGACGAGGATTTTTGCACCTGCATAATGTTTTTTGTTAAAAAAAAATATTACTTTGCATTGTGTTTTTTCGATTTTGTCACAGGAAAAAATTAGATGTCCGAACGGTATTTGGCAAAAGTATTTCATGAGCAACAGATTATTCATCGCTTACAAAATTAATTGACAATAAAAGCAGAAAAAGTTATTAGCGTCGCTTTCTGGTAGCCTAGAACATAATTATTTTTTGACTCGAAAAAACTGCTGACAGGTGCTGTCATACAATTTTTCCATATAGAAACCATTTGTAATTCAAATTTACGCGTCTGAGATTGGTAGGAATCAAGTCGAGGAAAATAGTCAAGAAAATACCGTTACCAATTCAACAAGTATTTGCAACGATGGAAAATAGATGTTCGACAGTACTGCGAAATGTTATCCAATTCATTATGTTTAAAAATTCTCATAACTACAAGTAGTTGTAGGCGAAACTACATATGAAAATTGTCCCCAAAGGTATCCGAATCTGGCTCAATCCAACTTAAGGTACATCGCCTCTAGGAGCTCCTAGCCTCAAAAGCGTGTTTTTTAGAAAATATGTGATCATTGTCGACTGATGTGGCGCTTCGTTGCCGAAAACAGACAGTAACTCGGCAAGGCATTCTTGTTGCGATAATTGTCTCTGAAAGTTGTAAAAAATATTCTCGGTTGAGTTCCATTTTTCTAATGACTTGGTGACACTTAAAAATTCACGGTAGTGAGAACACTGCACGTATTTTTGTGAAACTTTGAATTTAGGTTTACTAAAGAATGAGGTTGAGATTCAGTACTGACGTTCGATCCGCGCGGCCTACTATGTTTCTATCTGCAAAACCTAAAAGACATCCGTGGTATGTAGCGTATGCACGGCAAAAACTCTTTGCATAAGGTAGGAGTGTCCTCGTATTAAAACCCCATAAGTCATTTTCGATTGAAAGTATGCATGGTAACTTGTAATTAAGATTTTATGAGATACTTGATCCTTCAGGTTACGAATGATATAGGTATATTTTGAATGGGTTATTAACAACACTATCAGCATGAACTCCCCAGGTCAGAATACTGCCAATATGAACACCTAAGAATGTTACTGAAGAAGTTTCTAGTTGATGACGTCGTAAACTTACAGTTATTGATTGTGTCTTGTCCATTATATTTAGTCAACAAATTCACTGCAAACCAATCAGCAAGGTTAGATCTCATCACGTGCCAAAATCACGTAAGCTGTTTTAATCACTTTTTGTGGAGTAGTACCCCTTCATATAGTACCTTACGTTTAGTTGTTTTGGTTTGGGTGCTACCCCGTCCATTTTCTTATGGGATTTTCATCTTCAGCGGTAAGTCTGCATCTTGCACTTGTGAGCTACATTTCTGTATAGCGCGTACCATGGTAAACGTCTTGGTCAAATAATTTCATCGTGCCAAAGTTTTTTTGTAATATCCTTTCTTTTTGACTTGCACTCCAGTAGCGGAGCATTTGTGCTATTTGCTGAGTGAATATATTGTGAATTTTTTGTAATATCTTGTTTTAATTGGCTCTCCATGTACTGTTAATGAGGTTACGTCATCACTGTTAGATTCTTTTCTTTGGTGTGGGAGGTCAAGCAAAACAAGTTCCGACTAACATCTCGGGGATTTGTGGCTTGATCTGTCACTGGCGCTCTTAGCTCCCTACTCTCCGCTTTACTGAGCTTGGGCTAAAATTTTGCACGCCACTTAACAGCTGTTTTGCATTAACTCACCATTTGATTTTATTTATCGTATTCTATTCATTTATTAATTAATTTAAAAAAAGGAAAAGAGGAATCACACCACATTTTCCTCTTATTTATAAAAAAAGGCGTGGCAATCTGCATAGCAGACTTTCGCGAGCAAAAACATATGGAGGAGTGTTAGATGGGACAATAGTTATATACTAAATGACATATAAATCCGAACACCCGGTTTAAATGGTTTTATTTTAATAAAAGTTGGTGAATGTATTTATGTTACTGTAAATAACAAGTGAAAAAATTTTCAGCCTTATCAGTTGGACATTTCTGTTTTTATACTGCTTTTTTTTAATTCACTAACGCTCTAAAAATGAATATTTCAGCCGCAGTAAAGAACCAACGTTGGCGGATTTTGGTTCTTGACATCCTTTACGATCGGTTACGATGCCTAGAGTACGGAGACCTGTACGATTTCGTCAACTTAGTGAGTTTGATAGGGGCAGAATAGTGGGACTTCGGGAAGCTGGACTTTCTTTTCGGGCAATTGCAGTTAGAGTGCAAAGAAGTGTAGACACTGTGGTTAGGTGTTGTCAGGCATGGCTTCGAGAAGGCCGTACGCAAAGAGCAAGGGGCACTGGACGCCGCCGTAGAACAACAGACCGTGAAGATCGCCGCCTAAGGTGATTGGCCTTAAGGGACCGTTTCTCCACTACCAGGTCCATTACAAATGAATGGTTTGCAGAACACGGAATACCTATTGGCATGCGAAGTGTTTACCGACGAATGAGAAGTTTTGGCTTGTTTTCATATCGGCCACACTGGGTCCTCCCTTTAACTCGAGAACACCGACGTAATCGCCTTGAGTGGTGCAGACAACGGTCACTCTGGGATCAGGAATGGAACAGTATTGTCTTTAGTGACGAGTCTCGATTTTGTTTAGGCATGCACGATGGTCGTGCCAGGGTTAGAAGGCGACGAGGTGAAAGGAGGAATCCACAGTTTTTTGTTGAAAGACATGTTCATCACACTGTTAGAGTTATGGTTTGGGGTGCTATAGCTTATGGTTCCAGGTCACCTTTAATCTTCATCAGAGGTAACATGAAGGCGCAGCGTTATATCCACGAAGTTCTAGAACCCCATCTTTTACCCTATCTTGACACCCTGGCAGATCCAACTTTCCAACAAGATAATGCCCGACCACATGTTGCAAGAGTCACAATAGACTTATTTCAACATAATGATGTCACATTGTTACCATGGCCACCAAGATCTCCCGACTTATCCCCAATTGAGCACGTGTGGGATATGATGGGTAGGAGATTGCTCAATTTGCAACGTCCTCCTCAGACTCTAGAAGCACTTCGAGAGGAGTTGGTGGTTGCCTGGAATGTGATACCACAGGAGGACATTGACCACCTGATCAGAAGCATGCCTAGGCGCGTTGGAGAATGCGTAGCACATCAGGGTGCATCCAGACATTATTAAAGGTCAAAGGGCTTTAAAGCAGTGCAATCATTTTGAAATTTTTATCATTTACTTATTATGCTTCATTAAGTACTTATACAAAATTTTATTAAAATAAAACCATTTAAACTGGGTGTTCGGATTTATATGTCACTTAGTATATCATGAGAATACAATAATTTATTATTATTAAGTTGGATTTAACCAGATTTGGATACATTTACATACTTATGCTTTGAAATCCACGGAACATGATACGATTCGAGAAGACGTCAAAAGATAACGCCTATGTTCCGTTGTTCCACAGGGACAAAATAGCTGCACTGCTCCACTAGATCACTATTCACTATTTACTTACTGACTGAAATTTCCTGATTAAACTAAACACGATGCTCTCCTCGTCCAACCAAAAATACAGCCAACCTTGGACAGCTGTTTCATGCTTTTTGGCTACTCCTCAGCAAGGTCTAGGCTTGGTCTCTCGTCTCTGGGGCATCGCAACTATCTTCTTCTATCACCATTGGTGCGCTCTTACAAAGGGTACTATAGAAGTTTTGCAATATGACTTAACAAACGGACGCAGCGGGCTGCATGTTACTGCATATTGAGACATGTCCATGAGTGCATAGTAGCCGCCACCGACACGTCTGTTTAAATCGAGCGGGATTGTGGAACGTGTCATTTTGGAGACACAGCTAAGTGGTACACGGAACAGTGCCTGCCTAAAGTGAAACTTATCAGAACTGGTTTAAGGATTGTGTAGTGAATGTGGTGGAAATTACTTTGAACGAAGTCTATAAATAAAGCTGCATTGCAAAACTTTTATAGTATACTTTATCTGAAGTCACTTGGAACACTGTGAAATACCGGGTGCGTTTTATATATCTATATTTAACACGCTCTGTTGCTGCAAAAATCGCCAAATTTCGCAGCAAATAAGCAGCGTATAAGATCAAAGGCAGTTTCACCAGTCCACGTGGAGTAAAGCACGCCTATGCGTGGACATAGCCAATGAGAAAGCGTGTATTTCAGAGCTCCGAACAAGTGCAGGTGGCTACTGAAAATTGAAACAGTTTAGCCAGTGCCGTGTAGCGGTGAATAATCGTGTTTTCTTTAGTCTGTCCGTGTTTTTTCATAGATCTTATTAGTTTGTGTGTTTTTGACTTTTGAATACTCAGTTTACTTGTTGATTTAATTGTTGTGTTGATTGTTCTTGTGTGTCCTAAATATGGCTCTTTGGAGACCTTGGGAAAATGCTCCAAGCCACGAGGAGATGGTTGATGAACCTGTGCAGGCAGAATTCTTTCATAAAGATTTAGAGGAACAGACCCAAAGAGTAATCCTAAATATGTATGATTGTCTGAAAAACGAAAATCCAGATTCTTCGCAAAATCAAATTTTAAACAGAATTTGTATCCTGACAAAAATCAGTCGGTCTACCATTTATCGGGTTATAAAAAGAGGAGATGTAGTCAACCATTCCTTCCACAGAAAACGCATAGGGCAAAAATTAAGAAGAATAGACGTGGGTTTTCAGGAAGATATTCGTCGTATAATATACGGATTTTATAAAGAAAATTTGGTGCCCACGTTGGAAATGATACGGGATAAATTAAAAGATTATCCTGAAGATTTTTATAATTACAAATGCTTAGACTCACTGCACTGTATTGTAAAACTGTGTGGTTTTCAATACAAAAAATTAGATAAAAGAATGGTGATTATGGATTCGTCTCGAATCGTTGAATTGCGCCAAGAATTTTTGCACAAAGTTAAAATCTATAGAGAGCAGAAAAGAAATCTGATTTACCTGGATGAAACGTGGTATGATACCCATGATGTTGTGCAGTACGGCTGGGTTGACGACAGCAACAAGTGCATTTTAAATGCACCATGCAACCGTGGAAAAGGAATCATTATTCTCCATGCTGGCAGTGAAAATGGATTTATACCTAATGCCTTGCTGTTATCTGCCAAAAATATCAAAGAATCATGTGCCGACTATCATGAGGACATGACCTCCGACTTATTTGAAAAGTGGATAGAGCAGCAGTTAATACCAAACATTTCCCCAAATTCAGTGATTATTATGGACAATGCGCCATACCATTCCCGACAGAAAAACAAAATTCCGAATACAGGCACAAAAAACAAGACATTATTGATTTTATGAAGGATAAGGGAATGGAAATACCACAAAAATCAACCAAAGCCATATTATTGGATCTTATTAAAAGACAAAAATTTGAAAAAGAGTATGTTGTTGACAATCTGCTTCAGCAAAATGGCCATGAAGTATTACGTCTACCTCCCTATTACTGCATTTTTAACCCGATTGAGTTGGTCTGGGCTGCTTTAAAAAAAAAGTAAGAAAACATAATCAGACCCCTCAATTAAGTGAATCGCTATTGGCCACAATAAGAGATGCAGTATCTCATATTGCTGCCACAGACCTATGGAAGCAGTGTTCTAGGCATATTATTGAAAAAGAAAATGAATATTGTGTTTTGCCTCCTGTAAATCCCGTTGTAATTCCTCTACAAGATGACTCTAGCGACAGCTCCGAAGGCGAGGATGATATATAAATACCTATAATGTAAGTGTTTATATACCTTTTTATATACCTACCTGCTATGTAAATATTTGCCTATGTCAAACGTTGGAATTCTGTAATTTTTCCATTTCTTAACTTTCAGTCAACATAAATTAAACTCCCAATATAAGTATTTTTTTATCCCAAATCAAAAAAATAAGAAGATAGTAAAATCCATTTATTGTGATATAAAAACATTATTATTATCGTTCTAAATAAATGACCGCACGCCTATGATACGTCATGAAATTACAAAGGACGCGCCGACCAAAGGTTTTTATGCTATTTCAAGTGACTTCAGATAAAGTATACTTAGATAGACCGTATGTTCTGGTTAGAAGATAATTACGATGCTTTCTTTCGTTGTCCAGGCTTCACGTTTATTTTATTGAATGGCAAGTAGACCACAACTTTACAGCCAGAATCGTCAGCCATCTAGCGGTCGCGTGGTGAAACGTGAACAGAGATCAGTGAGAGAGAACAGTGGCCGATTCTGATGTGACAGACGGCATTTTGCGTTGTCTTGTTTCGATAAAATCTTATGTTTTCAGCAAGACGGAGGGTCCCCCTTAGTTTGCCCTGACGCAGCTACCAAAACGTTTTCTGTAGTCGGATTGGTGCTATGGGGTAAAAAATGTGGTCAGCCAGGGTACTATGGAGTATACGCGAACGTTCCAGCCTACGTAAAATGGATCACCTGTACCAAAGATTGTATGCTAGGAAAGGGGGATTGTTCGAAATGCCCAGCTGTGCAACATCCGCCGAAGTGAAAATCATCCAAAGGCATTAAAAAGGATAACATCGTATTCACCATGTAGCTTTTTGTACTTTTTTAGATGACCTATTAAATAATGTTATTATGTTGTTATAAATGGTATTTATTAAGCATTCAAGGTAAGAAAAAAATAATCAATGCAATGACAAAATGATGAACGGCATAGTTCAGTCTAAGCTTCTTTAACTACGTCTGCAATACAAAGCTAATTTGTGGCAAAAAACACCCGAACACGTAAAAAAAATTAAAGATAAAATACCCACTATTCATTTGATAAAGAATTCCAAATACTGTCCGGTTACATTTTTTGTTTGTAAGCTTGAAGTCATCGCTGATTGATTCAAAAACACGAATATGTTTGAATTTCCCTAAACTTTTTTTTAAACATTTGGGGCTGTCTTGGTCTTCGACTGTGTTCAACCAGACGGCTTTTGCACGATAAAAACAGATATATGCAGCTCTGATGGAAAGAAACATCGAGGACGGCGGTGACGTTCTCAGTACACTCGCGGAGTGTCAATAGAAACTTGAAGATGCTCATATCAAATCGATAACTACGTTATTGCTCTAGGAATGTGCCAATTTCGGTTTTTCATATGCGGTTTGTTTATAAACTAGATTAACCTAGAACCCACGCGACCCCTGATTTGGATACTGACTCACATAGTCTTAGTACATACATCAGATGTTTTAACGTAGGAGGGGGTTTTGGAAAGGAGGCTGTTGTCAGGGTCGTACTGATTCATTTGGCTTTTTGGAACCTAATATCTCGATTACCCTAAAGCTTTGGTATATCTATAACTAAAAAACTAAGTACTCTTGTTCATATTTTTCTCATAATGAATATCAAAATTTAATTAAGAGTCAACTAAAATCCCAAGGTATTTGAATTTTTCATCAATATTTAGTTTTCCAATTAACACAGCTTTCGGTTTACTTTCATTCAATTTGAGTTTGTCAGATGCTAACCATTTTAAAACAAGTTTCAAGTCTGAATATTTTGAGTACTTATATACTCGTAAATTAAAGAAAGACTAGATGAAATTTAAATTTAGCATTTTTTTACTATAACAAGTAAATCGTTTATGTATACAATAAGACGAAGTGGTCCCAGGATACTGCCCTGTGGAATACCTCACGGATTTTCAATTATGATAAAATAGAGTTATTAACTTTTGTAACGTGCATCCTACCAAAAAAAATATTTTTGAACTAAAAGTGTCTAAAGCAAACACTTCCTGATATACCATATACCTCCAATTTACCTAACAAAATATCCTCATCAATTATTTCAATCGCCCTCCTCAAAGTCTATAGCGCTTCTCCAATTCTCAGTAAACTTGCGTTTCCTCTAAAATTTTCTTTTCTTTTATAAACTACTTGGTCATGTATGTACTATGGTATAAATGACTTTTGATTATATTATACCATCTACATTTTTTTTTATACTTCGATGGAGATGAGGGATGTGACGTTACACAAATACAGTGAAATTCCCCTTGGCGAACACCCCTCTTAAACGGACAGGTTCTGATGGTCCCGGCCGACTGTCATATAGTTTGAATTGTTTGCATCTCTCTCTCTCTCTCTTTCTCTCGGACGGACGTTTCTTGAACGGACGGACGTTCTCTTGAACAGACGGACCTTTTCTTGAACGGATGAACGTTCTTTTGATGAATGGACGTTCTTTTGAACGGACGGACGATCTGCTGAACGGATTAACATTATTTTGAACGGACGGACGTTCTCTTGAACGGACGGACGCTTTCTTGGCCGGAAGGACGTTCTTTTGAACGGACGGACGTTCTTTAGACGCACGAACGTCATCTTACGGAGGCTTTGTTGACCGGACGGACGTTCCCTTGAATCGACGGACATTATTTTGAACGGATGGACGTTCTCTTAAACTGACGGACGTTTTCTTGATCAGACAGACGCTCTTTTGAACGGACGGACGTTCTCTTGAACAAACGGGCGCTTTCTTGGCGGACGGACGTTCTTTTGAACGGATGGACGTTCTTTTGAACTGACGGACGATCTGTTGAACGGACGTACGTTCTCTTGAACGTATAGACGTTCTTTTGAACGGACGGACGATCTGCTGAACGACTGAACATTATTCTGAACGGACGGACGTTCTCTTGAACGGACGGACACTTTCTTGGCCGGACGGACGTCCCCTTGAACGGATGGACGTTCTCTTGAACGGCCGGAGGCTTTGTTGACCGGCCGGACGTTCCCTTGAACGGACGGACATTATTTTGAACGGAAGGACGTTCTCTGAAACGGACGGACGTTTTCTTGAACAGACAGACGCTCTTTCGAACGGACGGACGTTCTCTTGAACGGAAGGACCTTCTCTTGAATGGACGGACGTTATGTTGAACGATGGACGATCTGTTGAAGGGACGGACGTTCTCTTGAACGGACGGACGTTTTCTTGATCGGACGGACATTCTTTAGAACGGACGAACATTATTTTGAGCGGACGGACATTCTGTTGAACGACGGACGATCTGTTGAACGGATAGACGTTCTGTTGAACGGATGGACGTTCTGTTGAACAGAAGGATCTTCTCTTGAACGGACGGACGTTCTCTTGAACAGAAGGATCTTCTCTTGAACGGACGGACGTTCTCTTGACGGACGGACGTTCTATTGAACGGACGGACCTTCTGTTGAACGATGGACGATCTGTTAAAGGGACGGACGTTCTCTTGCACGGACGGACGTGTTCTTGATCGGACGGACATTCTTTAGAACGGACGAACATTATTTTGAAGGAAAGGACATTCTGTTGAACCACGGACTATCTGTTGAACGCATGGACGTTCTTTAGACGCACGAACGTTCTCTTGAATGGACGGACGTTCTCTTGAACCGACCGGGGCTTTGTTGACCGGACAGACGATCCCTTGAACGGACAGAGATTATTTTGAACGGAAGGACGTTCTCTTAAACGGACGGACGTTTTCTTGATCAGACAGACGCTCTTTTGAACGGACGGATATTCGCTTGAACGGAAGGATCTTCTCTTGAACGGACGGACGTTATGTTGAACGATGGACGATCTGTTGAAGGGACGGACGTTCTCTAGAACGAACGGACGTTTTCTTGATCGGACGGACATTCTTTAGAACGGACGAACATTATTTTGAACGGACGGACATTCTGTTGAACTACGGACGATCTGTTGAACGGATGGACGTTCTCTTGAATGGACGGACGTTCTTTTGAACGGATGGACGTTCTTCTGAACAGACAGACGTTCTTTTGAACGGAAGGACATTCTGTTGAACGACGTTTAATCTGTTGAATGGATAGACGTTCTCTTGAACGGACGGACGTTCTGTTGAACGACGGACGATCTGTTGAACGGAAGGACATTCTGTTGAACGACGGACAATCTGTTGAACGAATGGGCGTTCTCTTGAACGGACGGACGTTTTCTTGTTCGGACGGACATTCTTTAGAACGGACGAACATTATTTTGAACGGACGGACATTCTGTTGAACGACAGACGATCTGTTGAACGGATGGACGTTCTCTTGAACAGACGGACGTTCTCTTGAACGGACGGACGCTTTCTTGGCGGACGGACGTTCGTTTGAACAGATGGATGTTCTTTTGAACTAACGGACGTTCTGTTAAACGACGGACGATCTGTTGAACGGACGTACGTTCTCTTGAACGTACGGACGTTCTTTTGAACGGACGGACGATCTGCTGAACGACTGAACATTATTTTGAACGGACGGACGCTTTCTTGGCCGGACGGACGATCCCTTGAACGGACGGACATTATTTTGAACGGATGGACGTTCTCTTAAAGGGACGGACGTTTTCTTGATCAGACAGACGCTCTTTTGAACGGACGAACGTTCTCTTGAACAGAAGGATCTTCTCTTGAACTGACAGACGTTCTCTTGACGGACGGACGTTCTATGAAACGGACGGACCTTCTGTTGAACGATGGACGATCTGTTAAAGAGACGGACGTTCTCTTGAACGGGCGGACGTTTTCTTGATCGGACGGATATTCTTTAGAACGGACGAACATTATTTTGAACGGAAGGACATTCTGTTGAACGATGGATTATCTGTTGAACGCATGGACGTTCTCTTGAACGGATGGACGTGCTACGGATTAACGTTCTCTTGAATGGGCGGACGCTTTCTTGGCTGGACAGACGTTCTTTTGAACGGATTGACGTTCTTTAGACGCACGACCGTTCTCTTGAATGTACGGACATTCCCTTGAACGGACGGACATTATTTTGAACGGATGGACGTTCTCTTAAACGGAAGGACGTTTTATTGATCAGACAGACGCTCTTTTGAACGGACGGACGTTCTCTTGACCGACGGACGTTCTATGGAACGGACGGACCTTCTGTTGAACGATGGACGATCTGTTAAAGGGACGGACGTTCTCTTGAACGGGCGGACGTTTTCTTGATCGGACGGACATTCTTTAGAACGGACGAACATTATTTTGAACGGAAGGACATTCTGTTGAACGACGGACTATCTGTTGAACGCATGGACGTTCTCTTGTTCGGATGGACGTTCTCTTGAATGGGCGGACGCTTTCTTGGCAGGATAGACGTTCTTTTGAACGGATTGACGTTCTTTAGACGCACGAACGTTCTCTTGAACGGACGGACGTTCTCTTAAACGGACGGAGGCTTTGTTGACCGGACGGACGTTCCCTTTAACGGACGGACATTATTTTGAATGGATAGACGTTCTCTTAAACGGACGGACGTTTTCTTGATCAGACAGACGCGCCTTTGAACGGACGGACGTTCTCTTGAACAGAAGGATCTTCTCTTGAACGGACGGACGTTCTCTTGACCGACGGACGTGCTATGGAATGGACGGACCTTCTGTTGAACGATGGTCGATCTGTTAAAGGGACGGACGTTCTCTTGAACGGGCGGACGCTTTCTTGGCTGGACAGACGTTCTTTTGAACGTATTGACGTTCTTTAGACGCACGGACAGAGGCTTTTTTGACCGGACGGACGTTCCCTTGAACGGACAGACATTATTTTGAACGGAAGGACGTTCTCTTAAACGGACGGACGTTTTCTTGATCAGACAGACGCTCTTTCGAACGGACGGACGTTCTCTTG